TGCAATTTTGATTATTAATATGCAGGTATTTACTCAAAAAAAGGCAAAACTTTCATTTTCAGGAAAAAAAAATTAGCAACTCATATTGATAATTTTTAAATCTTTATAATGGCACTTGAAAGTTCAATTAAAACAATTGCATCATCCAGGAAGTATACAATTTTGCATTGTCTCTCATTTCATGTGATTTATGATTCTAAGATGCCCATTATGTTCATATCTTCCAAACAAAAAATTATTTTCCCAGCAAGTGAATGGTGTAATTTTACTTAATATCTTTAGATAGATCATAGAGTTTTATAAAACATTGTACTAAAGTACAAAAATAAGTGCTTTATGCACAGTTTTTAATACTGTATCTTTTTTTTTGGTACCTCAGCTAACCAACATCACATAAATAAAAATAATAACAAAAAAGAAAAGAAGGAAGAGATTGTTTAACATATGAAAGCTATAATTGCATTTTGCTGACAGCTTGCTTTTCATTAAGATACAGGGAATAACAATATTGGGCTGTATTGCAGTCAGAAACGTAGAAGAAAAGGAGAATTGTATGAAGGAATAAGAATAAAAATTCCAATGGTTACATTAAATATTTAAACCAGTGATAATGATGAATTGATTTAAATAGATTTATCTGTGCCCAAAGATCTCGAATTATAAAGAAAATGCCACGTTTCAAAATAAAATTTATATTTGTAAAGGAGTATATATACTTAATTGCAAATCATTTATTGCAAAAATAGGCATGGCTAAGGCTTGTTATATAAATTTTAAAATTTTATAAACAGAAATGAATTTAGAAAACAGAAATAGTTAATGGCCAAAATGTTTTCAAGTAAATAAAATATATAGGTACCTGTTCATTAACATCATAAATCAGTTTGTGTATTTATCAATTCCATGTTTTAATACTCCTTCTGGACCTCTAACTAACATTTTCACCTTCTTCTATTTTTGCCTTTATATTTCTCCTGGGGAAAATTTTTGAAAACTCATTTTATTTAAGTAACCATAATAGGTCAAGTGTTAAATTCATCTTTTAAAAGGCCTATTGTATCAATCCAGAGCTTGGCAATCATAGTGAAAACTTAAGGTTTAGAACAGAGTTGATTTATTTTCAGGATTCTAAGTGGCAAGGCCTATCAGTGAGGCAATTATATGTAATTTTGAAAAATGAAGAATGGACCATGAGTCTGTGTGCCCCATTAAGGAGAGAAGTAGAAAACATATGTATTTGTATCCACAGTTTCTGGCATAAGAGTAGGTGCATAGTAAACACAGACTGATCATGTATTCGCTGAAGAATAGATTTGTGGGTTAATAGCAATAGAGCCTATAAAATTTGTTTAATTTTCAATGTTGATAAAGAGAATTGAAGGAGAATTAAAGGGAAATTTTGTGAAAAAGGAAAATAATCTAACAATATCTTTTTTCATTCAAAATAAAACCTTTATATGGAATGATGTAAGGATTTGTTTATGAAGAATGGTTGACGAACAATTATAATGATGAAATCAAATGCAAGGGAATTAGTGTTGGAGCAAATTTGTGAAGCAGAAGGAAAAAAAGCTAGTATGTTTTTTAAGGTGAAGGTTTACATAAGATCCTTCTGTTTTGAGATAGAAGAAACTTGACTCAAGGAAGAAAGAAACCAGTAAATGGTCTAAGACCTTACTAGTGCCCTGTGGATCCCTATAGACCAAGCAAGTGTCCCTAAGAGCTATCTGCTTGTCTTTCCCCCTGCCTAATCTGGCATAGTAATGGCTAGCTTGTGCTGCCATATGAAGTCAGAACTCAGGACTCATAACCCAGGGGTAATGAGAGGAAAACTAGGACCAGAAATGTGCTGGGTAGAGAGACAGTAAGACAGAAAGTGGATTGATGGAGATTTTGGAGGAGGAAGTGTTACATTCTTCTCTGTCTACCATGACCCTGCTCAGTCAGGAAGGAGTAGCTGGGCTCTTTAGTATAAGCTGCTATCTGCTCTGGAGAGGGTAAATCCAATTCTACAAAATTAGAAGCAAAAGAAGACCACAACCCATAAAGTGGTGTTGGTGGTGGTGTGTGTGTGTGTGTGTCTGTGTGGCAGCAGGTGGGGAGAGGGACTGTATAATTTGTTGTCTAAACTGGGACACATTTGGGAATAAGAGGGACCATTGTTAATATTTACAAAAGGACAGCAGACCTAAGCCAGAATTGTCCTGAAAAACCAGGATGTATTGTCACTCCAGAGAGACATTGCTAAACCCTGAATAAGGTTGATATTCTGCAGTCTCCAAAAAGGTCTTTGGGCAGCTTACTTTATTTAAGGTACTGTTTCTACACATGGACACAGGGAGGGTAGCACTACACACTGGGGTCTGTTGAGGGGAAATAGGGGAGGGACAGTGGGGGTGGGGAGTTGGGGAGAGATAGCATGGGGAGAAATGCCAGATATAGGTGATGGGGAGGAAGGCAGGAAATCACACTGCCACGCGTGTACCTATGCAACAATCTTGCATGTTCTTCACATGTACCCCAAAACCTAAAATGCAATTTAAAAATATATTAAAAAAAATAAAAATAAATTAATATTTTAAAAAAAGATACTGTTTCTTGGTCTCTTCTATTCCCTTAGACAAAGTATCATTTGTGGAGAGAGAGCAAGATGTATTCTTCTTGAATTTCTCTCTCAACATAGGAGAAAAGTCTGTAAGGGGCAGGTAGGTACAGAAGTATTCTATATTTTATACCGGGCATGTTTGGATGAATGAAGTCTTTTGGTTTTCAGGTAATTTTCCCTTTCTAAAATTGGCTATAAATTTCATTATTAGTGAGAGTACAAGGTTTTCTTTTAGCTTTCCTACAAAACTGAGAAGAACTATGGACACATAGTTTACAATCTCCCACGAATGAGCCTACATATACTTCGCTGTCTATATTGAACTTACACATTCTATTTTCTGTATAAATATTGTTAGCACGGCTGTTAAAATGTTGGATATTTTGAGGGCAATAGAGTATTCTGTGCCCATTTTTCATTTAATAAAAAAAGTTTAAATGTTTTACCCCTTAGGTAAAGAGAGAGAATGGGAGTCAGAAAAATCTTTTTCCTTAGTTTCACTCATTACAGCACAATTTACTTTGTTTTTCTAATGTTGGCAAACACAAACATATAGTCTGGTATATACATTACATTTCTATGAATATGTTCTAGTAAAATGCAGAGCATTTTTCAAGACATTATTTGAGTAAACTAAAATTTCAAAATCAAATTTGACAATTTAATAAAACCTAGTTGACAATGGCTGCGTGTCAGGTAGGAATATTTACTGCCTAGATTCTTTCTGTCTTCCAATAAGTGTATACAAAATCTTAAGTTATCCTGTTCATATTTTCTTTTTAAAAATATTTATCCAAAGTATTTTTGTAGTGCTTACTAGAAACTTAGTTTTATCTTTAACAGATGTATTTACAATATATAAAAGTGTATCTACAAAATATAAAAAGTACCAAGTTTCTAGGCTAATTTTTAGATACATTTTCATCCCCCTGGGAACTTTTATATGAATGCAAGGAGAGAATAATCATGACTTTGTGTGAATACTGAACACATTGTTCATTTTCTGTTGTAAGTTACTGTTAGAAAATCTTAGTGTTGGAGTTGTTCAATAATAATAGACTTTATCAAACTTCATAGCTTAGAATGCAGTGAAAATTACCCGAATTATTAACTTGATTGCCCTTTATTTTACAAATGGCACACTTAAGAACCTCCCTGTCTATGTGATTCTAATTGTGGCCCAGTTGTCCAAGACAGAATTATAAAATAGTCATTTAGAATATAATGAAAATTAATAAAAATAAAAAATTATGTTGATGCAATATTTTGCTAAATGCAATCAGAAGAATTTTTTTTTTCTAAAAAAAACTTTTAAGTAAAATAAAAACCAATTTCCTTCACAGCTGATATCAACACATACTTATAATTTAATTTCTATCCCACCTTGAAAAAGTTAAGGAATTGTGGTTTGGAGGAAATAGGTCCCTTTTTGTTACATATTTGTTCTGCTTTTTTTTGGAGACAGGGTCTTGCTCTGTCACCCAGGCTGGAGTTCAGTGATGTGAACATGGCTCACTGTAGCCTTGCCCTCTGGGACTCCAGCAATCCTCCTGCCTCAGCTTCCCAAGTAGCTGAGACCACAGGCCCACATCATCACACCTGGTCAATTTATTATTATTATTTTTGTAGAAGTGGGGTTCTCTCCACGTTGCCCAGTCTGGTCTTGAACTCCTGGCCTCCAGCAATTTTCCTGGCTTGGCCTCCCAAAGTGCTGGGGTTACAGACATGGGCCATGGTGCCAGATGTTTTTTGAAATCCATATTTTCTTGACATGAGGTAGCTTTTTAGCAGCATTTTGGGTGCTGTTCCCCAAACAGTGTGGTTTGCCATGATAACAGATTGGAGGATAATCTAGTCATCTAGGAGAATTATATTTCATTGTATCCGGAGGTGCTGTTCTAGCTATAGTAATGCAGTGGGAGAGAAGTAAAGCAGTTTGAGAAGAGGCAGCATTTTTACAGGAAAGAAAATAGATACCCATTCTCATTGCTGATCCATTTCCTCCTACTGAAGCAACATCAGGCTGATTTTAATTATCAATTAGCTATTAATTACCAGAATTTAGAGATCCAATTCAAATGTACTGGATGTTCCTAAATTATTGTTTTGTTATTATAAAACTAATTTTAATTTTTTTCTATGAAGAATTAGGGAGCATTCCAATAAGAAATTACAGAAGAATTGATAGTGGTGCAGAAGGTTTGAAGGTATTAAATAGGTGCTAATTTCTTAAGTCTAAAAATATAAACCTTATGCAAAATTAGCCTTTGGTTCTACCAGCAATTTAAAAAGCCCCTTTTCTTAATAATTTTAAAGTTACAGCAGCAGGACTTGCTCTACCTACTTAACTTGGGGGAAAGTGAAGTTTCATGTGGCATGGTAGACACATTAACAGTTTCTATGAATATAATTTAATGGAATTCGAAGTATTCCCTAGATACTACTAAAACAAAATTTTAGCAAAAAACCAAAACCACATCTACCTATTTGTACAAAACTGGCTCTAGGGAGGTAAATGGTGTGATAACTTGAGATGGTGTTCCCGTGGTAATTTTCTCGATATTTTGGTATTATTGTATGTTTGGGTGTTTGTTCTTTATCTTGTATAAAAGCAATTATGACTTTATCCAGAATAATGAATTTTTTCTCATAAAGAAATTCCAGTATTAACTATTTTTTCATTTTGATTAAATTTAAAACTTCTTCGAATCAAACCTAATCTGCACTGACAAGCCATCTGATAATAAATACCCTTTGCTATTTATTTTCAAAGATTTTAAGGAAAATCAGATCTTCTGCTCCTAGAATTTGGAATGCATTTTTAGACTGAGTAAAAGTTTGCCTGCCCCAATGGACATTTGTATGTCAATGTAATTACTATCTTTGAGAATAAAAGCAGATCTGTGGGAGAGTGTAAATTTGAATTTAAGAATTGCTTTAGGAGAAAGTTGTTTTACTTTCTCCTTTTTAGAGTTAGTTTCAAGCCTACATAAATTACTTTTAAATTCATACTGTTAATGGGATAAATATGATTTGGCTATTTGTTTTAACTTAGATGATTTTTAATTGCATTTTTCTATTTAATAAAAGTGAAATAAAAAAAGAAATTAAGAAACAGAGTATAAATACAAGAATATAGCAATTCCTAAATCTAGGTGCATATTGAAATCACCTAGGGATCATTAAAAAATACTGATGCCAGGCACCCATCCAAAGAAATTTTGATGTAAATGTTATGAGATACCATATTGGCATTAGCATTTTTAAAAGCTCTCCAGATGATTCTGTTGTACAGCTTACTTTGGGAACTTGTGTCCTAAGAAATATTAGAAGCTAAATGTAAAACAGAAAGCACAGGGCCTTTCCGAGTTTCAGTTGTAGCCTTGAAGCCTTTGTTACCTCACTGGAGTTAGTACAACAGAAATATTACAAGTACTTTTAATTGTGATTGAAATTTACCTGATTTTGATTAGAATCTGGTCTGCTTTTGGATCACAGGATTCCATTAAGGAGTTGGCAAAATTTTCTGTCTTTGTATTAATGTTTTCCTTTGCGTTCTGTAGATTTTTGTAAGGGCCAAGGGATTTTAAATAATAAAAATTCTATTACTGTATCTTAAACCAAGAATGAGGCTGAAGTAGGAATAATAGGTATTTGGTGTTGGACTTAGATTATTTAAGTTTGAACAAGCAATCATTTACAAATATGGCAAGAAAGTAGTGCCTTCTCTTTACCTCTGTTCCAGGTTTTGCAGTGCTGTTGCTCCCCTCTCTTCATCATCAGGTGTTCCTGGAGAAGAGAGATTTTGGGACTCTAGGGGGATTTTGGTAAATGACACCCATGCTGATTGAAACAGTTTCTAATCAGCAATGATTGATTTAAGATTTTTCTGTGGCAGCTTCAAGACAAGAGGACTCAGGTATGGTGAATCTGCCTGATACTCACTGAAAGAAAAAGGAAGGAAAGAAAGAGGATTTCCTGGCAGATTTAAAATAAATGGGTTAGATAATTCAAGGCTAACCCCAAGTTAATATAACTGTCTCTGAATACTAGATGGTGGGGTGGATATTGCAAAAATATCAAAGAAATGAGAGCAAATCTGTTCTTCTCTCTTTAAAATGACTTTTCAGTCAATTTGCTGAATAGGAAGAAGTATCATAAATGATATTCTGTATCTCTGATTTACATTTTTTATAATATTAGGTAGGAGAAAAATGAGTCTGAGATGATGAAAATAAATCAATATGAACAAGTCAAAACATTTTAAAGTAGAAAAAGTCATTTCATGTTGGCATGATTATTGGAAAAGGTAGGAGTTCTAGGGAAAAATAGGTGTGGACTAATGAGCTGAATAAACAGTGGGACCTGGATTTGTTTTAACCATATCTGCAACACATCATATCTATTTCTAGGAAGTCTCCATGGGCTTCAGGGGACAGGAAGATCCTGATCTATGACAAATCGACTGGATGAAATTTTTTCAGGCTGAAGAGAGGTTGAATCCACAGAATCTTGGACAGTCTTTCATGAGCTCAGGCCTGCAATCATGACCCACCGAGTGGGCCATGGTGAATGCATTTTGAAAATGCATTCTACCTTCCCTTTTCCTCTTTATGACTTTGTGTATCACAAAAGCAGCTGCAAGCCAGAGGTAAGACTCTGGAGTTTACTTGGCTTCCTTGGTTGTTAATGACTGCTCAGGTCTGCCCCATCCCTCCCAACTCTTGCCAGCTAAAAGATCTCTTGCCACCCTGGCAGGATTTGTAAACATATGCCCCAAACACTCAGGAGCATTGGAAGAACAACTTTTGGGGCAGTGGTTCTCCAGCTTTCTGTTAAACAAAAAGTTCTTTAACATTTGATTTCATTTCAGAATAACATTCTTACTTCATGATTCTACAATTGGTATAAGCTATAGTCTCTGGAAAGGCATTTCTTTAGGAAAGATGTTACTTATGATCATTAGGGGATGAGTTAGAGTTTTATTTACTTTTTTAAATAGAGTTTTGTGTGTCTTATTCTTAAATTTAAAAAGTATCTTCAGAAGGCGCCATATCCATCCCCTCGGGCAGTCACTGCAAAAGTAGGGTAGACCTCATAGGTTGTATATGCTGCTAAGTCTTGTCCAAGCGTTACCGCTTGCTTGAGCTGGGCTGCAGACACAGGTGCAGTTGCATTAGGGACAGCATATCCTGGAGGAAGATGCAGAGAAAACTTCATGAAAGGAATTCACATTTGCTCCCTTTTGGCTTATTGTCTTTTTTTAGCAATATGAATATTTAACATCTTGCTTAAAGCTAAAAGTTAATATATATATATTTTTTAAAGTGCCATTAGGGACACAATATGTTGACTCAGTGATTTTAAATGACACTTAAAAAGTCCTAGGACAAGGTTCCCAAAAGTGGGGTCAACCACCTGTGCCAGAATCACTTTATACTTAAAAGATGCTTGGGATTGGGTCCAAGGAAGAGAAACTTAACAGAACGCTGAGTTGATTAAAGCTTACGATTTATAACTATTTGAGGGCCTCTGAATTTATAAATGAGAAAGAGTGATTGAAGAGTTGGCTGGGCATGGTATGTGGGGAGGCAGGGCTCTGTTGGACAAGTTCTCCTGCAAGTCCACACCTGCCTCAATGAAACATTTAAAACATTTGCCTTTACCCAAGGAGATGTATAGAGACTAGGAGACAGTAGGAGGAATACTGTAAAGTTTAAATGTGATTCTCCATAATACCTTAGAAGCAAATGCCTAACCTGTCCATATTTAGATCTAACCATGAATGGCAAAAGCACCTTATTATCTCCTAAGCGCCTCATCAAGCCTGTGCTTGGTGTGTTCAGAGGCCTTGATGCTGGTTCTCCCGCTCAGAGAGCCAAAGTGCCTGAGAATTAAAAAAATAATCTATGTGCTTTCATGTTAGCATTGTGATCTAGTAGATGAGCATTCAGTTTTGAAGAAGAAAGCATATTAGCTACTATCTAAAACATTATTTCTCTGTATTGTTTTAGTCTAAAACCTGAATATTTCTGAGATGATCCAAAAATTGTAAAAGATAGCAAGAGAAAGAAAGAAGTATACTTAAGTACAAATAGGTACTTTTTTTGTTGTTGTTGCTGTTGTCTTAAACCCCGTTTGGTTTATGTGTGGTAGAAGCCTGCCCAACCCCAGACACATTGATTTTTTTCTGGTGGCTTCTCAGAAAGTGGTGGCAGGAAGCTGGTTGGATTATTTTGAACACAAATTGGATCCACTCGGAGCATTCACTTTGGTCAGTACTGCTGATTAATGCACTAGTGAAGTTTGGTCCATTTTCCAAGGATAGGAGACATGTGTTAACAGTTACTTTCATAAATTTGGAAACAGTATTTCTAAACTAAGTAACATAATTGTGTGAGTGTGTGCATGCATGCATGCATGCATGTGTTCATGGCACAGGTTTTACCTTTAGGGATTTTGAATTTTCTTTTTCAACTTGGTCAATTTGTTAAGTTCCAGGGTGTTTATGTTTCAAATCAATCCTTCCCTTGGTGCCTATTATTCTTTGCTTGACTCCACAGCAAAGTTATGAGAGGCTCTCAGATTCTTAGGCATTCCCAAGACAATGCTCATACCCCAAATATTTTTAACTTCTCACAGAAGCCAATAGAAATGAGAATAAGGTAAAACATTCTTGGGTAAAAGCAAATTCTTTCCATTGCGAAAGCAAACTTACTCTCCTGACAGTTGCTCTTTAGTTTTATAGTACATTTGTTACGTGTCTTTGGTTGCACCTTTCTGTAAGACAAGGATTCAATCTTCTCTAAGAACTGAGAAGCCCTGGCATGTGTCCTGAGTAAATGGACATGTAAACATCCTGTTATGTGGAAAGCAAGCACCGGCTGCTGGCCCCGCACTGCCCAGGAAGGACCTTGCCCTCTGTAGTGTCAGCTGTTTCCTTGGTAACCTCTAAGGGACTCACCACAGAGTGTTTCCAAGTTCTTACAGAGAAACAAAGCCAGGATTGAGGTCACTTTCAGATGTGAAACATCATTAGTGTCAGCCTTGTTTGCCAGAATGGAGGATTTGTTCACAAGTTTTGAGAAAAAACAAAACAAACAAACGAAAATTCATAACTGGCAGCAAGTCCCAGGTGCAGTGGCGTGAGGAACATAAAAGTTCTCACACCTCCACATGAGCAATATATGAATTAATTAATCAATTCTAGTTAAAAATCTAATTTGGACGTATGGGGCACATACTAACACAATGACAAGTCAGAATGACAGATTTCTTGAATAGAAATGAGCTTTTACTAAAAAAAAAAAAAAAAAAAAAAAAAAAAAAAAAAAAAAAAGAAAAAAAAAAAAAAAAAAAAAAAACGGATAAAAAATTTTCAGTGAGAAAAAAGTTTCCTAAATAACTTTCATGCCTGGTTCCCTTTAATCTCTAAAGGACTCATTTTTAATTATAAGCATTTGTTGTGGGTACATAATAAATGGGGACAAGTCTTTTAAATGTGACCTCTGAAGACATTGTTGATCTACAGATAGGCTTTGCTTTAAGCAATCAGCACATGCCCCAGACCAATATTATAGAACAGATAAATTGAGTTGAGACCTGATTATTCACATATTGAAAAGATTTCTGTCTGTTCCTCACTCTCATACATACAATTTTTTACTTTAAAATCTTTTTGGAAATAAAATTAATAAAAGTAGATTGAAGACTGGAGAGGGAGAAGGATTGCTGAAAAGCTAATTGCCATTGGCCAAATTACTTAATCTTTCCATACTTGGGTTATTCATCTGTATAATGGGCTTTCTAATGAAACCCAACTCTTGGTGGTGTCATGAGCATTATTCAGATATTATAAGGCTTCCTGACCATTTAGGTGAATGTCTAGCACACAGTAAGAGCTCCAATAAACATAATCTATCCATAGGCAGTCTCAAACTCTCTTACTAAAAGTAAAAACCAAAACAAACCAGACTTAGAGAGACTGACTCATTCAAGATCACACCGCCATTTAAAGCTGGGCCGAGACCAGAACCCACTCTGCTGCCCAGCTTGATTTTCTTGCCTCGTGCTTTAGTGGGTCACTCATTTGGGAACCTCTTTTTGGTCCCAACGTGGTGCAAGTCAGATTATGTAAGTGGGGTATGCAAACATTTCTATGATTCCATGGTACCAAAAAAAGGGTTTCCTTAATACTCTCTGCAGGGTGCCAATTTTGACATAATTTCCCCATACCTGGAAAAGCAGCAGCAGCAGCAGCAGTCATGGTACCAGGATCACCTCCATCGGTGGGGATGCCCAGGGTCTGCAGGGTGTATTCGGCTGCGTATGTCTTTGCTTCGTCCACATAGGCACTCAGTTTTGGAGGTGTGAAAGGGTGGCTGGAAAGCAAATCAGTCAGGGTAGGTATTTTTAACTGGTACAGTTGAGTCAGGTGAAAACCTAAAGCACTATCAGCTTTGTTAGATGACTGGATGGTGGTATTTTGCATGAGTATTTTCATTCTGTTTGCTATTAAAGCTTCTAAATATAGGTTGCATGTAGGAATATTTACAAATTGATATAGAACATCAATGGTTGATGACATTCCTGGGACATACAAGTAATTAACTACATGGCTTTTCTAAATCAAAAGTGAAAGAAATTGTTCGTAAAATATATAGAAATACAGGTTCAAGGTAAATTTCAGGAGGTGATATCTACTAACAGAGAGGTCATATATTTGGTCCAAAATTTAAATGATGGGCTATTGTGTTATTATGTATAAAAATGGTAATGTCATATTATTCAACCTAAACACACAGATAAAAGAATGGACTATGGTTTTGTTTGTTTGTTTGAAATGGAGTCTTGCTCTGTTGCCTAGGCTGGAGTGCAGTGGCACAATCTCAACAACCTCCAGCTCCCAGGTTCAAGCGATTCTCCAGCCTCAGCCTCCCAGGTAACTGGGATTATAGGCGCCTGCCACCACAACCAGCTAATTTTTGTATTTTTAGTAGAGACAAGGTTTCACTATGTTGGCTAGGCTGGTCTTGAACTCCTGACTGCAAGTGATCTACCTGTCTTGGCCTCCCAAGGTGCTGGGATTATAGGCATGAGCCACCATACCCAGCCAAGAATGGGCTATAGTTTTTTATTTCTATTGCATTTTACATTACTGACTGTTTTCCACTAGTTGGTGACACTACACAACCTTCACTGTGTATATGAAATTTGGGGGCCTTTATGTGCTGGTTTCATAGCTGGCACATCCCATCTACATATCTCAGTGTTTGCACTTAATGAAAAATGAGTAGGTGGTAGACCTGAGTATCTTGTTTAGATGGTGACTAAATGCACTTAATTTTTAGAAATGTGTCCTGCTCTAAAATCAAAATGGTAAGGAATTTGGAGAAGTTACACACATTGCAGGATTCTGGCTGGCTAGAGCAGGAATGGTTATTTTGTATAAGAAGAGCTGTCTCTGGTCTTGTCCAATAGCAGAATGCAGCTGGTACACTGGCTGTCCCCAGTTATTTTTCTGACAAATCTCTTCTAATATCTATAAGAATAAAAAAATGTTATTTCCCCCTTAAATGACATATTCACATTATTTCCCAAGTTTTCAGGTTTTTAAACACTAATCTTCAGAGTTCAAGCTAATATCAGAAGATATAAAATGCCACATATTTTAATGACTCATAAAATTTAAGATGAACTCAATCTGAACTCCGTTAAAAATGTTAGGTCTATCAGTTCATAAAAATCACTTTCACACCATTTACTGTAATATGTTTTTAGTTTAGTCCTTCAGCTGTAACTTTTTACCAAAAGCTTACTTTTATGATTTGTTTGATATATTTGTTTTTCTAAAAAATTTGTTGCTCCAATACTGTGTGTATAGATTTACTCATTGTTACCCTCAATCTCTGGGTTTATAATGATTTAGAGATGATAACCTAAGAATATATTTTTCTTTCATGTCATTTGTCACAAGGTTTTAATCTCACAATTTTATAAAAGTAGAATTGAAAAGTTTAATGGATTGGAATTTATTGAGCATTCCTAGATGGGAGTTGACAATTGCGATGTTTTTATTTGCTTGGTAAAACACTACTTCTGGCTTTTTTATCTTCTTAATGATAATATGCTTTTTAGCATACTACTGTATGTTTTTCTCTTCTGTAATTACTCCAAACTGAATATTTTCTAAAGATTCATAGTTTCTTTATTCTGAAGCCATTTTTGGTTGTCCAGAGGTCTTGATGCTCTCTTTAGTCAGCAGATTTAGTAGACTGTGCAAAACAGGGCATCAGGCTGAGAAAATAACTATAAGACAGAACAATGCCCCAGGATGGGTCTCTGGGGTTTCTTAATTTGTGCTAATGAACCCAGCTGCAATAGCATGACATTTTCCAGTTTATTAATTTGTAGATTGTTCCTATTTTCTCTATTGACATTTTCTTTTTAATACTCTTGTTGTGTAGTATCTCTTGTCATCCTCAGAGCACTCTCTACAGTTCTTGGGCAATAATAAAGGAGCTTTTTCTGGTAGATATTATGCCTGCCTGTTCATGCCAGGTGAGCAAACCCTGGTGGAAGGAGCGCCAGCTCTCACTGCTGACTTTGTAGGGCAGTGCTTGTCTTTCTGTTTCTGGCTGGAAGTTTGTAACTCTACTTTGGGGTTGTTTAGACCCCATCTATATTGGTGGTGGCATGGTCTTCATTTCTAAACTCTAGTTGTAGAATTTCAGAGACAAATTAAAGAACTTTTATTAATTGATAGAGATTATTACCCACATATTAATATAAGACATGATGAATTTCTAGCTTGAGTTTAATGTAAAACAAAGAGATCTCTTTTTATATTATAGCAGCACTCAGAATTACTGTTATACAGAATTTGTGACTATTATTTTTATTTTCTGAAAAGATTTATAAGTATTTCACTACTTGAATCAGGTTCTTTGTTTTGGGTTTTAACCCAAGAGCAAGTGGATGACTAGCTTTTGTATTTTCTGAACAAACTTCATCATATCACTTACCAGATTTCATTATATGTTTACATGTCAGTTTTTTTCCCACTGAATTGCCACCTAATTTTTGATAAGAGGGATTTTGTTATATTCACTTCTACGTCTCCAGCACCTAGTGCACTACAGGGTGCATAAGAGAAGCTTACTAAATCTTTTGTGAACAAACAAATGATTGCTGTTTAGCACTCTGATAGGCATTCTTTTTGTTTTTTAATTGCCTGGGTAGGGCTAGCAGAATCCTTAGATAAACTAATTTGTAGATAAAAGACAGCCAGAAATCCCATAATACAATTACCCAAGATGAGCTTTTAGAAAATCACATTTTATTCTTGATGAAACTTATAAGGGCTCCTACCGTACATGTGGGGCTTATACCTTTGGCATGGGAGTAGGGAAGTTTCCTTGAAGATACACAAACTGTAACTCTGGTTATTCAGCCAAAATGTATTTCAGAGAGATCAGCACCTGTAACACTCCCACAGGGAACAGTCTCAGGGTTAGCATAGACCCTGATTTGTTTTATTTTTGACCCTGGGAATCAGTTTCCATATTGAAACTTTTATAAATTTTAATTTTCCAATAATAAAAACCACAGGCTAATTCTGAAGTATGGAAACTTAGAACTGTTAAATAAACACAATAAAAATTCGCTGTAATGGCACTGCCCAAATATAACTATTGAGGAAGAGTTAATTTGATATGACTGATGACATCTCATAGTTAACCTAGATATTCACCTAGATATCATGGTGGAGTTTTCCGTTAGATACACTATTTCCAAGAAAAGATGTCCTAAATGGTCTATTCAGGGCCCTGCCATAATACTCTTCATTTGCCAAACAACCTGGCTCACACACAATAGGCATTTATTCTGAGATGGGGTCTTTGCCTCATTTTATTTTCATATAGGTTATTGGCTGATAATTCTTAATAGCTCTAAGGTTCTTTGCATTTCAGTGGAATATTGTTCAAAGTGTTAAACTTAATGGTTTTTAAAAAAGAGTAAGGGCCTATAATAGAATAATGGCACCCAATGTCCAGCATTTGCTCAAAGTGTGTCACGTTGATTGGATGTTTTATACATTGAAAGAAAAAAAAATCCCATAGCTTGGGTAGGGATCAAGTCAAATAATTTGATAAAAGTGAATAATGCTCATTGGCACAACTTAAACTATTTCTGGAATAACATTACCTACCTGGGGAGCGAGTTTAATTCCTTGGGGTTTTAACGCGACAGGATTCATTGGGGTGAGCTCCATCCCAGGTAAAATGTCATAGAGTTTGTCTTCTCTCTTGTCTCCTTTGACCTGGTATCCTCGACCCAGGCCTGTGTATGCCAAATAGCCGCGGCCGCCCAGTCCTCTCACTCCCGCAGCCCCTACAGGTACATTCATGTAAATTTCTAGGAATGTAAGAAGGCATTAAACTGAATCAAACCACCAGAAAATCACCCTGAATCTTACTGTAATGGAAAAGTTAGCCCAATTCATGGTGATTATTGCCCTGAAGATGGGTGGGAAACTCTAGGATTCTAATGTAATGAAACTCAACATAAGGTAAGGTTTAACATAGATGTCTCCCTCTTTTTTAAAAAAAACCTTCGGAAGAAAGCAATACCATTGATAAGTACAATACTACTGATAAGTACACAGGCAACTTAAAAGTTTTGGTAGAGAAATTTTGCAATTTTTGTCTTTAGGTAACCTTTTCTTGACATTTTCTATAGACTAATAAAGACTGGAAATGTATTTATTACAGCATTCCAACATAATTCAACCACTTGTTTTAAAATCAGTCTTGCTTAGAGACTGTCAGTGATCAGTATATCAGAAATAAATTCCGGTTTCCCTAATTATCCCACCTCCAATGACTTATTGGAAAATAAACATTTAAAAGCATGCTTTTAAGTTCACCATCCTCTCTCTTATGTTCCGTCGATGTGATGCTTAAATTTCCATTGAGTTTCATGCATAGATTCCTTTTGATTTTTGTTTTGCCATGTTGCTACTTTGATTATCTATTGGTGGCATAGAGATAAAAATTAAATTGATTTCCCTTCATCCATGAATATTATTCATTGATTCTTGTTATAAGATAGACATTTTTCCCTTTTACTGGAGTTTGTTTTTTTCTACATCATAACTGGTTGACAATTTGCATTCAATGTATGGATTGGTTGATGATGTGATTTTACATTATAAATGCATAATATTTCAATGATATAATTTATCATCACATAAACAAGTTATCCTAAAGGAAATCCTGATTATTTCATTTGCATTACAATTTTGGGCAAAATAATTATGAGTATGAAACTTTTAAGGCTGTTGAAGACTAGAGCTCCTAGGATGATCAATTCAGTTCCTCTGAAAAATAGTAAAACGTAGTAAGATAAGTGTTTCCACAGTAATCTAGATGTGCCTCTTTGCTTCTAAGTCAAACCCCAAAATAGACCTAAATACACAGTTTGTTTATTGAATTGCCCCGATTCATGTCATATTTGGAAGATAGAACTGGGATTCAGCTGGCATTAGCCACATCCTAGAAAAACTAATCTGAAGGAACCCAAAACACAGGGATAAGCTAGTTTCTTGGAAATAAAGGCTTTCTTTATCTTCTAGCTTCCTTGAAGAAACGAAACTTGAAAAACTGCTCAAACATTTAGAATTCTTACAGGATTCAAATGTGAAATATTTATTGTTTTATTAGCAGTCCAATTGAGGGTTCTTTTTTCTATTCAGCGTTTATTTAGTTCTCCATGTACTAAAGAAATAGTGATTTCCTTAATAGTTTGGCTTTTAAGAAAGTATAACACATATTTCTTGGAGGAGGTCAGATGAGAACATCTCATGTCTGTTATATCTATTATTATTTGTGATTTATATGTTAAGATGATGTCACTGAGTCACCATAAAATACACACATGCCTTGAAAGATTTTTGCTTTGAGGAAGTTGGTTTCCACTGGACTATACTTGTCTATCCCAGAAGTGTTGTAATGAGCCACAGATGACTGCACAATAGTGGACAAGTGATACAGAGGAAGCTAACAATTATGGAACTAGGTTTTAGTTTGTGCAAATTTTGTGAGTCCAGGCAAAGTTTGAATTTGTGCACTAGGCTCATTTGCACAATGTTCTGACCACATTTTTTCAATAACCAGTTGTAATGTAAAAAAGACTCCTATTAAAGGGAAACTATTGATATAATACTTGATTTTTAATAAACAATTTTTCAGTGCTTTTCACCCAGTGGACCCATCAAATGTATCTAAGGCTACTGCAGTACGAATCATTTGAAATCTTGGGATTACTCTAAAGCAAGATCCGACTGGTGTTACCTCTAACAGAAGGTGCTCGGATAATGGCTCTGTTGCTGAGGTGTCCTTTGGTGGCTGGGAAATGAAGACTGGGAATTGCTGCATAGGCCTGGGGGGCATAGAAGACAGGAGCTCCAAGGTAGGTTGTGGTGGGATCATAAACTTGGCCCAAAGAGTAGGTATACTCTCCTTGAAGCATGGTACCCCTTCCACCTGTGCCTCGGGTGTACCTAACATAACTGTCCTTGTCCACTGGTTTTGCCAGGGTCACTTCAATGGGAGAACCATCCAGCACCTGTTGTAGGTAACAAAGAAAAATCAACATGAGATGATATGAAGACAACCAGGTGTAGCTGAGCCCTAATAACGTGACTACTTTTAAGTGTTAGACTATTTGCTGTAGGCTTACTGATTGTATCTTGTCACGTTATAGGTTTGTGTTTGTACACCTGTTGAATTTTCACTGAGCAATTTGTTGGTAAGTTGCATAAAATGCCAACAGGTTTGACAGTAACACTGGCCAGCATCTATTGACATATTCATTATAAATTTACAATCTGGTTACAGACAGTGAGACAGAAAGTTATGTAATATTTCTATTATGTCATATATGTTTTAAATTACATGTTTATATAATTATACAACTACAAGAAAATTGAGGTTTGTTATGGATGGTATAAAATCTCCATTACCTAGTACAAGAAAATGAAGATGAAAGGAAACCAGTAATGAGATCTTATCAATTATTAGCATTTAGCATTGGCAGCCAAGTCAGGCCCTTCCAGCTGATAGCCAGCTAAATGTCATGCTCCTTAAAGCAGCCACACAAGTTTTCACTGGGGAAGAAGAGAGGCATAGTGTGGCCCTACCACAGGAAGAGGAATCTGGGAGGCTGTTGCATTGCCTGCCACAAGTTCTTTCTCGTGAAGCCACCTTTGGATCTGCTGAACAGTTGGGAGCTAATAAACAGGGATGACAGGGTCAGGGGTAATTGGGAGTGAGAGTAATATTGAGGTTCTCAGATCATGCACCCCTTAATACTTGTCCTCAAGAATTATTGACACAAGTTTTGAAATTGCACACAGCTGCAGATGTCGAGGATAATGGATGTATGCAGATCTACAAGTGCAAATACCTTTTATGTACTGCTTGCCTACACAAGAAACAAGTGGCTCTCAACAAAAGTAGCCTAGCTACTTCTTGCAAAGAGATATGCTCTACACAATTCTCTCCACTTTCAGGATTCCTGTTAATTCTCCAGCCCTGTACCTTTGCCTCCAGAATGCTGTGAACCCCAGATTCTGATATTATCTTTTGATTTCTGTAGTCCCCACACACACTTTTGTAATTAATTCCTTTGCTGTTTGTTTTCTTTTGGGACTCTGACTGATACCAGACCCCATGGGTAAAACAGTCCTACATATATTATGTTCCAACTAAGTTACTCTACATTCTTCTGTTCTCCAATTTTTTCTTGCTCTTCTCAAATGCTGTGCCTCTGTCTAAGACTGTTAGTCTTTCCATATTTTGATGTTTGAAGTTCTACCCAATTTTCATGTCTTCTCTTAAGTATTTTCATTTCATATTCATGAAGATGTTTTATTCTTTATGGCCCACTTCTTCCTTTGAACTTTCTCACCATGTGTATCTCTTTTTATGATATTTACTTGCCTGTACTTTGCATGTGTTTGTGTAGTTGTCTTATTCCTCCAACAGACTTTTAACTCTTTGCCAAACATCTATGATTCTTTTTGTATCCTAGCATGATAAGCGATCTACAGAAGGTTTTAAATGTTTATTGGCTTGATATATAAATATATGGGTTTCTATATACAACTCAGTAGTGAGGATAGAGAAGCTTCCCCAGCCCTTACTCTTGGCAAGGTGAGAGATTCTAAGCTTTCTAAGTTGGAAGATCAAACTATGAAGGCAGAATAACAGCTATCTTGACATCTTTTTAAATCATCAGCTTCTAAAATACTGCACTAAAATGATGATAATCTTTTTGAAATAACGAGAGGAAATTGGAATTACAAAAGACACCTTGAAATAATCTACCTCAATTTCCTCTTTCCATACAAATTGAGGGCCAGTGACTTGTCTAAATTAGAAAAAAATAAAAGTAAAGTTGGATATATTAGGTACAGCTCCATTTTCCATTTCTCTTTAGTACATTCTCTTTAGTACATCTTAAACAGACTAAGGCAGCCATGTCAGAGAAAGCTGGAGTGAAACAGACTTGCAGGACTGCACTTTTCAATGTAATGTCCACACCAAACTTGGATGGAATCTACATATTTTTTCTTTGTTCTACCTTACCTTCCCATTTAAAGCTTTCATAGCCTCAACTGCATCTTCTCGGTTACTGAAGTGCACAAAAGCATAGTCTCGAATTTTCTTCACCCTCTCCACAGCACCTGTAAAATAGAGTGAAGATTGCCCCATTAACAAACTTAAGACAGCCCTGAAAATGATATATTTTAGCACCTAGCTTCCAAGAGAATTTGATTTCTTTTTAATGGAGACCTTATATTTAAGTAAGGATCTCATCAAGAACATTCAACAGAAGGTTTTGTTTGCAATCTTTAAAATAAAATGTATATTCTGACTTAACATAATTTATTATGGATTTATGTTTTCTACTTCCTAGATTATTAGATCTCTAAGGGTGGGAATTGCATCTTCCTTTGCATCTTATGTAATGTAAAAGATAGTACCTTATGCATGGTAAAATATTTGTTGAATTGAGTTGAATTCAATTATTGGTCATTTTACAAACATATATTTAGGTGATTACCTTTTAAAGTTTTCTGTTTTTCACCCCAGCAAAATGTCTTTATCTCTTTTGTAATTAACTTATGTAATTAACTTTAATTTAAAACTTAAATGTTAGGTAACTACAGTTCTGACCAGGCAACTGAGATTTATGAGTTCACACAGAGAGGAGCTACAACCAGATTTCCTATACCCTTATCCAATACTCTTTAAACTAAAAAGCAAAAAAAAGAAAAAGAAAGTTGTTTCTGAAAGAACATCAGGAAACCAAGATAAGTTGCCTGCCTTGATGTCATGATAGGTAAAGACTAGAAACAATGCAGTTATCTACTATTCTGCTTTCAGGAATGTCCCATACAGCAACACTCACACACATCTAAAAGGATCATGCACAAGAATATCAATTACACTATTGTTGAAAGAGCAAAAATAAAACAATTTAATGTCTATTTTCACAAGTGATTAAATCTGCTACATTTATACCAACACCAAGGAGTATCTGTAAAGAAAACAAAACTAGACCTGTATGTGATCACATGGAAAGATTAAAGACCTATTGTTAAATTTTAAAAAGTTGTAAAAGAATAAGTACAATATTATAGCATTTGTATTTTTAGTAATCCAAAACCATATATATGTGCACACAAATATAAATACACTCACACAGAAAGCAAACTGAAAAGACAGAGACCAAACTCTTAGCAGGGGTTACTTCAGGAATGGGGAGAAAAGTTGGGGAGAATGAAAGGCATTTTCATATTTTAATGATATATTTGGTATTTTACAAATATTTGCAAAGTTTATTTAAATTATTTGTATAGAAAACCCAAACAAAACAACAATCTATTTTTATATAAAGGAACTGCCGAACATGATGGCAACATATAAAAATGAAAAAGGTAGTTGTACCAAGATAGTTGGATGTTATATTTTTAAAATGTGGTTGCTTATTCCATTTTAAAAGTAGATGTTTTGCTTAGAGTGAAGGTAAGGTGGAAAATTGTTTAACCATATTAGTTTAGCATGCCAATTATCTTCTTTTAGCCTACACTCACTTGGGTGTACCTTGAGCGTCCAGGGAGACAACACAGGATGAGGCATTACGCCAGGGAAAAGAAGAGGAAGAAGTCCCCTCCTTTCTGTCTCTATCAAAGTTTCATTATCCTCTTAGATTCAAGATAACAAAGGTAATTAGAGTATTTACTCTCCCATATGGTTCAATGACTAAGAATTACCTTCCTTTAGAATAATAGTTGGCCTGTAACATAAAGACATTGTGATACTTCTCTTTTCACTCCCTTCAACATTCGACCCTTGGTTTCTTATGGCAATGGTTATACAGAGCAAAATTGTCTGGCCAGGCTAAGGATAACAAAGCTCTCTGAGATCATGAAGCATGGGACATATAATTAATTGAATTTTCAATATAGTCTCTTTATTCCCTTCAGTGTCACGTGGGGTGATGATTGGGACTCAATCCTATGACTTGTTTTAGTAATTGAGAAGTAAGAGGTTGGCCAATGATGACCTTCATCTTTCCAGTATTTGCTCTGTTCATATTTCAATGTCATTCTCCACCTAGGCTCCCTGGTCTGTTATCTCCCTGAGAGCAGGACTTGTTTCAGAGACTTCTTAGTATCATCTTTACCCAGTTCCTGCTTACTGCCTTGGACACAGAAGCTACTCAATAAATACACATGGAATAAGGGAATGTTATCAGTCAATTCACACTGTAACTTCTGTCATCTACACCAGTTAGGTGGCATTTCAGATGATAATTAATTTAGGTTTTCTGAAATTCTGTTTGCAGATATTTAAAATTATCTTGCACTGTTGAATGATAATTTCCAAATGCATCTGGTTTTGGAAAATTTGATATTTAAAAATGTAGCCTCATAAAACAGACAAGTTTAAAAGTTAGAGTTTGTATCCTAAAAGCTGGTTTTCTCTACAACAGTATTCACCACATGGCTTATTTTAATATGTTTCTTCTTTAGTGCATAGAAGTTTGTTTAATGATTGATCCTCACTTGGCAGAGGGTGAGTCCATAGAATATGAATGATTATTACTACTAAATCATCCATTAGCAAAGAAGAAAAAGATCCTCTGAAATCATGATGGAAGGAATTGGAAAATTATTGCTGTGTTTATTATCGACTTGTCAGCAACAGATCAACGTGAGGAGAAACACACCTGCATGCCAAAGGGGAGGTTATCAGAGGGTCATGGTTACCCAAGTGTGGTCCCCTGACCAGCAGAATCAGCTTTGTCTTGAAACTTAATAGAAATTCAAATGCTTGAACCCACCCCCTAGAGGGAAAGCAGTCAGTGATTTAACTTGCCCTTCAGGTTATTCTAATACTGCTAAACTCTTGTAGGAAAATCAGATCTTGTGGAATGACTATAACTGGAAATTCAGCCAATACCCTTCAGCTACAGTGGGGAAGAACAAACCATCTTCAGGTACCAATTTTTGTTCTAATTATCATTTGCATCTCTGAGTGGCAAGATAGTATTATTCAAGTTATAAATGGTTAAAATGATACATGGTCAAATATTTTGAGGGAATATGCAGGTTCCTCTGAGGAACCTAAACTTTAAATGGATTTTTTAAAGAGCAATTTTCCTGTTTCTTTCCACAATTTTTTCTAGATGAGTATAGCCTTGGCACAATACATGCTTTCCAAGATAAAATGAACTAGTTAGCTCTGAGTTTTCCCTCTCAAGGCAGCAGATGTCTGCTAGTTGTTCACCTCCTGCAATTCATATTTATTTTTGCAGAGGGCCAGGAAGAACAAGCCACACATCATTACATAGCCCTGAGAGTTGTGCCACCAGCTGCAGACTGTGCCCTGAAGTTGCTGGACACATTTTAGTCCCAAGAGGAAAGAAAGAGTGAGAGAAAGACTGAGAGAGCAAGAGGCTGTGTGTGTGTGTGTGTGTGTGTGTGTGTGTGTGTGTGTGCGCGAGAGAGAGAGAGAGAAAGGATGTTCATTATTTTCATGATAATTAGTAGGATCTGGGCACACATGTCTCTTCAATATATCCCAATACGCAGACTGGGAAAGCTGAAGCTGATAACCAGGGACTAGGAAAGGAAGCAGCCTTTTAGTAGTTTCTCATTCTAGCCCTTTGCAAAAAAAGGTGCTGTTTTAATTAGATAAAAATAAGAAGTATTATTCACTCTGGGAAGGTAGAAAGTCAACATGAAATAGGGAGGATAGTGAGTAATATTTATACACACACATATTGGTTCCTATGCCTACAACTACATCAACATTCAGACCTCAGCTTAGATGTCACTTCCAAACACAAGTCTTCTCTGCACTCCAGTAGTAGCCTGTCTAAGCTGTGATTTTTCTGGATTTCTTAAACTTTTTCCATGCATATATCATAGCTGTTGGTTCCTTCCACAGTGCCTCACACATAGGAGCTGCTGAAGGAAAGACAGTTGAATGAATGAGTGAGTGAATGGAATAAGGTTGGGCATGAGAGTATTAAAGTTGTTAAGAACATACCCTTTACCAGACCTGGGTTCAAATTCAGGATCTGCCACCTGCTAGCTGTGTGACCCTGGGCAAACTACTTAACTGCTCTGGGTCCTGGTTTTCTTATCTAGAAAGTAATGGAACAAATACAGTAACCTGCATTATAGAGTTGTGATGAATAAATGACAAATGCTGTGAAAGTGCCCACTACAATGCTTGCCACACAGTGAGGTGGTCCATCATTAGCAGTTTCTAGCTGAGTCATGGATTCACAGCTGTTGGTGTGGAGTCACACTATCACACTAATATTTCAGGGAAGGCAGAGTTCCTGAGGCTGGAGAAAGATCTTTGGAGAATCTTTCAAAATGGAGCAGTCACATCCTTACTGAATACCTTTAGAGCAAATCATCAGCTGATCATTGTTATATTTGAGATAGCATCCAGAGTTGGAAACAGACAATGCTAGTATGTGCAAGTAAATATTCTCAGGCAGTTTTAACATACAGCACCATGACCCATGCTTATTAACAACCTAGGGAATTTGCCAGGAGACTGGGAAATACTTAGTTATAAAAGGATATTGCTACTATGATAACCCTAAGCCACTACATCCCAGAGTGTGTTTAAAGACACAGTAATCCCACAAGATGATCTGCCAATAAAGAACATCCATGTTTCAGAAATTTGAAAAATGAAGCTTTCTGTATCTTTTCTTGGAGAATTTCAAAGGATGTTAGAAGGTTAAAGACTTTAATAAGTTCCATAATGAAATTAATTTAATTTTGCAGAATATGTTGTTGACAAGCTGATTTGACCATGGAGCCCTTTGATCAGTAACATCTACTAAAAGACTGTAGAATTAATGTTCTGAACTGGGTTTGGGAAATGGTAATTTGGACATTGTTCTTGAAATGTTCTACCTCCCTCAGCATTGTAGCTCCTATATGGAGAAGAAAGAGACAGGGAGTCAATCTGATGGCTTAGAATTGATACTGAAAAATATTGACAAGATGAGTATCAACTAATAATCCCCTTCCACCTTCCCTCTATTCCTTTCCCTTCTTCTTCACTCAAATCAGTTTCCTAGGATTGCCACCTTTTTACTTATGTCACAAGCATATCCCATTAGGCCAGTGGTTCTAAACTGGGGGCAGTTTTGCCCACCCATGGGGTATACTTTTCAAAGTCTGAAGATATTTTTGGTTGTTGCATCTTGGAGGTTGCTACTCGTATCTAACAGGGATAGCCTTGAGATGCTGCTAAACATCCTACAATCCGCTGGACAGACCCTCACAACCAAGAATGATCTGTTCCAAAATATTAATAGTTAAGGTTGAGAAACCCTGCATCAGACCTACAGTTATGTCACACATTAATTAATATGGTAAATACTTATTGGGCAATTATTGTACCCTAGGCCCAGAAACTAAATGTCTGAGGACAGAGGAAAGGCTAAGAGGCAGGAAAAACTCATGAAATTTATAGTTTAGTGAAGAAAATATGTATTCATTAAATAATCACACAGATAACTATATAATTATTATATTGATAAATATTATGGGATCATATGGTTGATTTTTTAATCCAAAGTTAGGAATCTAGTTTGAAAGGTGTGCATGCAATTATGAGATGAGCTAAATAAAAGCATTCTATTTGAAGTTATGGGATGTTGTCTCAAGCATAGGTGCTTTCAAAAAATGTTTTGAAAAGATAATCTTATATATATGTCCTACCTGGTTTGATATTGTTGAATTCCTTTTCAATCATTTCCTCAGAGGTAGACAGCATAAGATTTCTTACATATAGGATTTTCACTGAAGACATTGTATCTTCATCAACTTCTACTTCTGGTTCTGCCCAGTCTACTGCAATAGGATGTCCCCATAACTGAATTCTTCCTGTTGAAAATGATTACAATTATGATTAATTATGTAGAAATCAGGACAACATCATCTCAGTTTATACTGATGGTCTTTTAAATTGACCTGACACTTGAGGTCTTGAATGAGCAAGATGACCATTGAAATTGGTGAGTACTGATCTTAAGAGACATTCCAAATAAATATAGTAGCTGACTAGAAGGGAGTCCTGTGTGACCAGTGGCTTGTTAAACTTTATATTGATTATAAAGGAACCAGTATGTGGTTTGAGGTTGAAGAGAAATGAGGCAACGAAGAGCACATTTGACTCTGAGAACAGCACTCATTGGGTGGAGGTAGTCACTTAAGGTAAGATAGCAAAAGGGAGAAAGAAAAAGTATGAATTTAGGGCCTAGACATAGAGTCTGACTCCACAGAACATTAAAAAGGTTACGAGGAAGAGTGTTTACTGCTGTTGGAATCTGTGTTGTTAACTAGTCTGGGTACCACAATTGAGATGTTCAAAAAATGATGCTTGGGCAAAGGTGGGTGGGGCTCAGCCATCCTTAGTTTGTTCTCTGTCCCTTATACTTGGTCAAGGCTTAGAACAGCTGTGTTCCCTCTTAATCCTCTTTTACAACATCAATAAATTGGGAATCTGGAGACGTTTTTTTAATCCTAATTAAGAAGACAGATGATGAACAATGAAGTGTCTATGATGAGAAATTTAACTCTTCTGAAAAGGGTAGTTGTTCTCCCTGGCTACATATATTTTTGTATTCCTATAAATACAATTTATTGAGTGTCTTGTACTATACCATGTGTTTCCAACTCATGTGCAATCTCAGTTCCTTCTCACGGTAACCCTGTGGGGAGGTGAATGGTTCCCAGTTTTACAGAATGGGAAATGAGCTATAGAGAGGATAGCTTTCCCAGACCTGTTCTACTTAACCACCTCTCCCTTTTTTGTTTTTGTTTTTATTTTTTTTTTTGTTTCTTGGTGACTCTGCTCCTGCACCCCAACACAGTGCAGATCCTGTCAAAGTGATGAGAGGAGGGTGAGAGTCAACCCAAGTTCTAAATTTGATAGGAAATCTAGTTTGTTTTTCATTCATTGTTTGGGAATAAACTTTATCCTGTAAGCAATACAAATCTTGAGAGAACAAAATCAGGAATTCTCAGTGTTGATAAGGGTTTAGTTGTTTAATTATTACTCATGGGAAGCAATTATTTTCAATCAGAATGCATCTTTATATTGCTTGAAAAGCAGTCAGTGAAAGCATCTGTGGCACTGGCATTCTAAAACCCAAATGAAGAATAGGCATGTCTTAAGAGATAACGGACCCTAGAGAAGCTGGCTCTTGTTACTCTAGCTGTGACTATCTTGTTCTGTATTGGATTCCAGGGGATAGTTTTCCTCATTACTCTCTTCCCTTCCCCTTCTAGGCTTTACATAGATTTTTCATTTGTATTATCCCAAGATCCCCAAGGCTCCTAGTTAACTCTGGTTTTTGTAGCTCAGTAGTTCTCAGCCTTGGCCCCATAATAGATAAAGTCTAAAAAATAATGAAACCTGGGTTCCACCCAATGCTGTACTGGAGCTGGTTCCTATCTACTTGCAAAAATAGATTATTAAGTTTTTGCATTTTTACTTACCAGCTTTATTAAGGTATAATTGATTAATCAAAATTGCCTCTATTTATGGTATACAACATGATGTTTTGATATATGTATACATTGTAAAATGATTAATGAAACTAATTAACATATCCATCATCTCACATACATTTTTTCAGTGGTGATAACATTTAAGATTTACTTTCTTAGCAATTTTCAAGTATACAAATATGTTAACTATAGTCATATTATACAATAGATTTCCAGAAATTATTCATTTTAATGGAAACTTTGTATCATTTGACCAATATCTTCCCCGTACCTCTGCCCTCAGCCCTGGTAAACACCATTCTACACTTTGTTTATATGAATTCAACTTTTTAGATTCCACATATAAATGAGGTCATGCCATATTTGTCTTTCTGTGCCTGGCTTATTTCACTTAATATAATGTCCTCCAGGTTCATCCGTGTTGTTGCAAATGATAGAATTTTCTTCTATATAAAGGCTGAAGAGTATTTCATTGTAACTAATAAACGAGCTCAGTACAGCTGCAAAATACAAAACCAACATATATAAATAAGTAGCTTTTCTATATACTAATAACAAGAAATCAAGGAAACTGAAAAAAATCAAGAAAACAATCTCATTTATAATATCATCCCACAAGAAAATACTTAGAAATAAATTTAACCAAGAAGGTGAAAGATATGTATAATTAAAAACTATAAAATATTGATAAAAAATTAAAGAAACCAATAAATGGAAAAATGTCCTATGTTTATGGATTGGAGGCATTATTATTTTTAAAAGTTTCATGCTATCCAAAGCAACCTACAGATTCAATGAAATCTTTATTGAAATTCCAGTGATATTTTTCAGAGAAATATTTCAGAGAATATTAAGACAATCCTAAAATTTGTATGGGACCACAAAGGATCCTAGCCAAATCAATCTGAACAAAAAGAACAAAGCTGGGATCATCACACTACTTGATTTCAAAATATACTACAAAGCAATAGTAATTGAAACAGTATGATACCGGCATAAAAACAGAAAAGACATTTATGCCGATGAGACAAAATAGAGTCCAGAAGTAAATCCACACATTTATGGTCAACTGTTCTTTGACAAAGGTGCCAAAAATACACAATTGGGAAGAAACAGCCCCTTTAACAAAATGGCGTAAGGAAAACTGGGTATCCATATGCAGAAGAATGAAGTGAGACCCTTATCTTACAACATACACAAAAGTCAAGTTAAAATGGAATAAAGACTTAAATGTAAGACCTGAAACTATAAAACTACTAGAAAAAAACATAAAGAAAAGTTTCTTGACATTGGTCTGGGCAATACTTTTTTGGCTATAACCCCCAAAGCACAGGCAACGAAAGCAAAAATAGATGAATGGGATTGTATCAAACTAAAGTTTCTTCACAGCAAAGGAAACAATCAATGAAGTGAATAGATAACCTAAGGAATGGGAGAAAATATTTACAAAGCATATATTCAGTAAGGAGTTAATATCCCAAATATATAAGGAACTCAATCAATAGTAGGAAAACAAATAACCCAATTAAAAATGCACAAAAGCCTGGGCACAGTGGCTCATGCCTCTAATTCCAGCACTTTGGGAGGCTGAGATGGGCAGATCACCTGTCCGAGACCAGCCTGACTAATATGGAGAAACCCTGTCTCTACTAAAAATACAAAATTAGTTGGGCATGGTGGTGCATGGCTGTAATCCCAGCTACTCAGGAGGTTGAGGCAGGAGAATCACTTGAGCCCAGGAAGTGGAGGTTGCAGTGAGCTGAGATTGTGCCACTGCACTCTAGCCTGAGCAACAAGAGCGAAATTTAATTTCAAATTACAAAAGAAATTGGCAAAGGATTTGAATAGACCTACCTCAAAAGAAGAAATATAAATGGCCAACAGGTATATGAAAAAATGCTCAACCCTAATCATCAGGGAAATATAAATCAAAAAGAAAATGCGTTATCACCTCAACCTGGTGGAATGGCCATTATCAAAAATATCAAAGATAACAATGTTGGCCAGGATTTGGAGAAACAGGAATACTTGCACACTGTTGGTAGTAGCGTAAGTTGGTACAGCCATTATGAAAAATAATATGCAGATTCTCCCAAAAAATAAAAATAGAGCTACCATATGATCCTCCAATTGCTGTACTGGGTTTATATTCCCCCCAAATGAAATCATTATGTTAAAGAGATATCTGTATTCCCATGTTTATTGAAGCATTATTCACAAACATCACAATATGGAATCATCCTAAATGTTCATCAACAGATAAATGAATAAAAAAAGCATCAGAATTTTGTGAGCCAATTGAAGTCACATTGGTAGCTTGAAATCAGCGACAGTGGGAGTGTTAATACCATGGAAGTTGGCAAATACTACAAATCAGGGCTTTTGGTTTTTCCCCTGGGAGCTGGCTGTTAAAGATTTACCAGCTCATTACTGACCTCTGGACTGCCCCTCCCAATTCTGATATAAGTGGGCTGGATCTCGGGATTTTAAAAAGTAGCTCAGTTAATTTTAAAATGCAGCCACAGTTGAGTACTACTGCTCTAGCTTTATTCTTCTAAGCCTAGGACCATGAAGAGCTGCATACGGCTAAGGGAACAGAAATGAGAGGAAGTATAGGAAGCAGTGATTTCCACTAACATCCTTGTGAAGGCCCTTGGTAGAAATAAGTGTTACAGAATGATATGAGAACAGGAGCTTGAAGTAAGGCAAGTTCAAATGTCAGAACAATGATCCTGGCTAGAAAACATATCCTTTCTATCATCAGTTTCCTTATCTATGGCCTACTATTGTTGTGAAGTAAAGAAAAGATGATGCAGATAAAAGACTTTTACATGATTCAAAAATACGCTCTCCTTTTGATATTTTTTTGCCTGTTTTTATATATGTATAGTTTTCTCAGAATATGCACTCTTTGAGTGCAATGATTAGGTACTATTTTTTTGTTTTATTTTAGAATCTCTCACGTCACTCAGAAGGGAGCAATATGTGTTCTAAATTCTTAATAAATATTTAATGACCGAGCACTTCCCAGGAATTCCTATTTACATGCCGTGAAGATAAATACCCAGTATCATTAGCTGATAGATTTAGCAGTGAATCACAAAATTTGACTGAAGAATAGAATCATCTGGAAAACTTAAAACACCAGTACCCCAACCTTGTACCCCAGTGAAGCAGATTCAATTGATTAGAAGCTGATATGGGTACTGATATTGTTTGAAAACATCAGGTAATTCCAACGTGCAGCCCAGGATGGAAAATCATTTAGTCAAATCATGGGTTTTCAAATGTGCCTGGGAGCTTGTTGTAAATGCAAATTACCTGGCCTCACACCAGACCTATTGAATCAAGAACTCTCGTGGTGGGATCTAGCCTTAACTAGATTGTTGTAAATGCAAATCACCTTGCCCCACGCCAGACCTACTGAATCAAGAACTCTCGTGGTGGGATCTAATCTGTGCCTTAACAAGTTCCCCAGGTAATGCTGATGCAGCCTGAAGTTGAGAATCACTACCAGAACTTTCTTCAGCGCATTCTCAGAATGCCTTTCTAAACTCCGAGTGGGACGCAGCAACTTTGCCCTGTAAAGAGCTCAATAAAGATGAGATTTGTCGAGGGAGAACTGACACTGTTAAGAGGAGGTAAGTGGCTGAGGAGCAGTTACATCTCTTTAGACAACCATTGTCTCTCTGTCTCCAAGTCTGGGTCAATTAAGAAAGAAAAGTTTCTTGTGGTCCTCACTTGTCATTTTTCTTAACCGTCTCCTTGTTCTTTAAAACTGGGTTCTTCAGATGGTTGACAATTACAGAGTTCCTTTGTTGTGTGCGAATCTGCAGTGTGTTAACAGGTAGAGTGATCCAAACGGGTGCTAGGTTTTGTTCTGAGATCTCATTAGAGGTGAAGGAGTTTGCTCTTGCTGGCTTACTCACCAGTGTGCTTCATCTTGTTAGTTTGCGGATGAGTTAGTTGCTGACTAAAATCCAGCTGAGTGAAATCCACCTGAGACTGGCTCAAAGGGCCACAGGTAACGGGGTTTGCCTTGGATCATGGTGAATATGGGTAGTGGATGCAGTGGGGTGATAGCCTCCCTATGGTGTATCCTGGACAGAGAATCCACAAAGAAAAGTCAGGACTGTGGGTGGAAGCTTAATAAAGTGCTCGAGAATTTCTGAAGCTTATCTGATAGGCCCTGGCCAGCCTAGTCAGCTTGACTTACATAAAGGAGTTCCTTTGGTGGGCCAATGTGCCACTTTCTTTGGGGAGATAGGGAAGCCTTCAGGAGGTTGACCTTCTCCAGGAGTACTGGATTGTCTTGACCCTGGAAACTGTCTTTCACTTGATTTGGACCCTCTTTCACTGTCCTACTCCCCCACACCCAAAGTGATTTCACTTATCTGTTTTTAAAGATAATAAATGCTTCCTGCATTGAGGGAGAAAAGTGACTAATTCAGGCTGGAATACCGGAGGCAGTTTCTCCAGAAGGTGCTGGCTGAGCTGGGGTGAATGTCACAAGTGAAGGAGGGACAAGTATTCCTAGTAGAAGATACAGCATTAGGAATAAAGGAGACAGATATAAGCATGGCAGTGTCTAGGTCATTGGGGTGTCTGTCTTGATAGAAGAAAGGGTTTTTATTGGGAAATAGAAGGTAGCAAATATGATCATAAAAGAACAGGGAATGAATAAAAGGTCTTGAATAATGAAATCACATATTTAGTTCTTATCTCATATGCAGCAAGGAGTTATGAATATTTTTGAACTGGCCAGTGAGTGACACTGTTCATCCTGTAGGGAAAGATTGAATTCCTACTATTTTGGAAACATTAATCTGGTGGTAATGTTCAGGATGGAGTAGGCAGAGGGTGGGGCGCATGGAAAAGAAGGCAGAGCTGGGAGAATAATTAGATTTTGAAAAAACTATGTAAGGCTTAGGACATGTGTGTTTAGACTTCAATGGTGGCCTGATAACAGGATGGATACAAAAGACTTTTCAGTGGTAGAGTTGTTGACGTTGAAGAAGAAGAGTTAAAGCAGATTGCAAAATATTATGTCCAGGTCACCAGGAAGTATGCCCCCCTGAGGAGTTTTAGTGAGTTTGTCTATGGGCCTGTGACTTAGATGACTTGACTACTGGCCAGTGAAGAAGGACGAAGTTGTGAATGAAAGGTCAACATTAAAAATATCTACCTCTTTAAAAGATTCAGCAATCTTTAAGAACTGTCTCCTTTTGTTTTCACTTTAAGCTGCCTTCCTGAAGATATTATTGAAAAATCTTCCCTAAGCTAGATGCTGTTGCCCAATTTTGAACATTTCTAGGAGGCTGATTTACTATTGGTTTATTTTGAAGAGTATGTACAAAGGCAAAATAAATATGGATGTCTTTGTTGTGGTTGTTTTGCTTGGAATTCTGCTGGTTCTCCCATAATTTTCATGAGAAAAGTTCATTCCAATGTGTTCAGTCTGTCATTCTTGAAATCTTCTTACTTTAATATTCATTTCAAAACTTGTGTAAGTTGTAGTTAATGTTTTAGAACAAGCCAAGAACTGTAAAAAATTGTCCTAAGTTGATCTGATCAAGGCAGTGTTGTGGTGGATGGAGTCTTTTAAACTTAGAATTTGATAATTATTGACCAAATGGGATCTATCCTGTGGCTGTAGTAACTAACAAATAAAGGTGCCTTTCTAAGGACAGATTTTCTCTCAAATTAGACAGAAATTATTAGACAACGGGGAGTCATGATGAAAGTATGTCACCTACTTGTCATTGGGATAATGTATCACTTGAGGTGTATTATTTCTACATTCTAATGGATAATAGACCCTACTTCTAATAAGCCTGATAACAAAATCTATACACAAAAGTAACTGTGATTGATATATTTCATTTTAAGAAGACTCTTTATTCATTATAGGATTGCTGTCATTTAAAGTTCTGGGTTTCTTCAGTGCATGTAAATTAGCCTCAATACACAGAATGAATATTTTTCAAAACCAAGTCTTTGAAAACTTCAGGGAATGGAATCAACTGTGAGATAGTGAAGAAGGTTAAAAAGTTTAAAATATAACATAATGAAAGTTAGAGAGCCAAAAAAAGAAAATTAAAAATGCTGATTTTCTTTGCGGAGGCAGGCAGGATAGAGTGAAGTCCCACCTTTGAGGAGGGGATTGCTAACCTGGTAACAGTTTCCTCCTGGCCATGGCAGCCGCTCGATGACTCTCATACTCCACAAAGGCAAAGCCCCGGTTTTTGGTTTTATCTGCAGCGCTTGGGTAGACGATGACATCGACAACACCTTCAGTAACCTTTTTCATCTCTGATAAGATTTCTTCTCTCTTTTTGGTTTTTGGGATGCCCCCAACAAATAATCGGCAGTTGTCCACGCTGGCACAAACCCCTAAGAGACGCCCATTTCTGCAAAAAGAGCAGGAAGTTTTGGTTGATGAGAATCCTTGTAGGATTCACGTTGAAAATGGATGGCCCTAGACCAGATATGGCCTGCAGGTGTGGGATGTTTGGTCTTCATAGTGTTGAAACCATTTTTGGAGAGTTGTGGCTTGTTTTGCAAGCTTATTACATGTGTCAATTTGTGCTGTACATCATTTGAAGCTGAGTAGCATCTACTTTCTTTAGGCTAGATGTAGATTCAAGAGTTGTCAGTCCTCACCACTCCCTAAAGCATCCCCAGCACTGAGACCCCTACACCTAACCTAACTACACCTAACCTAACCTACACCTAACTCAAGCCACCTGCCTGGCCCTGCAGTCACTTGAGTTTGCAACACCCAACATTCCCTTTCTTCTGCAGCCAAAGAGAAAAGCTATTCTGATGTGATCTCTGTTAAAAACAGTCTCTTATACTTGATCACATTTTTACATATTATCTTATCTGGCTCACACAAAGAGACTGTGAGATGGGCAGAGTAGATGTTATTTCCACTGACAGATAAACTTGAGACTCCAAGAAATTAGAAGACTTACTTAAAATGTTATAGATTTTAAGGCATGAAACCTAGTTCTGGGATCTCAGTCCCTGTTTCTTCCACTGTACAGAGTTGCTTCTTAGCAAGTTGAGGTATATACACCTTCACTGGCAGAGTATACATTAATTAAACTATTCTGGAGAACATTTGGCAAAATGTACCAAGAGTCTTAAATGTGCATAACCTTTGACCAAATAAAGTATATTCTAGGAATACATCCCTGGAAAATAAAAATGAGCATGAGAATTTATGTTTGAGGATATTTATTACTGCTCTTTAAAATCGCCCCCAAATTAGAAATGAGCAAAATACTTCACAGTAAAGAGCTGGTTTAATGCATCTCAACTGAGATGTTATTGGCTTTGGGATTAGACATTTTTTCATTGTATACCATAGTATGTTTATCATCTCTAGTTCTTGCTCACTACATGCCAATAGTGACCAATTGGATCATTCAAAAATGTCTCCCCACCTTGCTAAATGTCCCCTTGGGTGGACGGTACTGCTCCTGGCTGAGAATCACTGGTAAACAAAAGATAGGCATTCATACCATTGCATGCTCTGCAGCCATTAAAAAGAGTAATGTAGAAGAATATTTATTGGTTTTAAAAAACAGTTCACACTATGCTGCTAGGTTTTAAAAAGCTATAAAATAAGTATATGAGAAGGCCATTTTGATTAAAAATGTATGGAAAAATCTGGAAAGACAATAAAATATCAACATAGTGGTTATTTTGGGGCAATGGGGTTATAGAGAAATGGTTTTAACTTTTATTACTTCATGCTTTTTGATGTTTTCCATGTGTTACATATTCAGCTATATGACTTTTGTAATAACACTAAGTTATTAAAAATGGGTAAAGTATGCGTAGCAGAAACAATTCATTTGCCATGAATAAAAACTCTTGGCCAGGTGAGTGGATGATTGGTCTGATTTCCATGGAGCGAGTGGCTGTAGGTTGTGTGGCAGGTTTTCTGACCAGGGTTAGGCCACTGTCCTAACTGTTTCATATGCTTTGCTGAGGAATCAAGGACCATGTGTCAGATCTGGGACAGGTCCATCTCAGTCTAGTAAGAATTGTGCCAGGAGTGTGGTTCTCGTGGGGAGGGAAGTGTTAATAAAATAATCTTCCAAGTTTTTTTTTTTTTTAACTTTACTTAGAAAACACCAAAACCTTATTTTCCACAGTATTAATGTATTTAGAAATTATATTATTTTTGATAGTTAGGGGGCTGTTCATACATCAGTTACCAGCAGGGGGAACCTAAAATTCCATATTTTATTTTTAAAGGGCTGTGGTTTGTCAGGCACCTTTCCCGGAACTATTTAGAGGCAAAGAGCCATCTCCTCTCAAAAGCTGAGGGCACAACTTTAATGTCTCTAGAAGCCAGACTTTTAGATGATGATCAGTGAATATTTGATGAAGTAGAAACTGATATGATGATATGTGGGAGATAAATGATGGATAAAAGCAAATTGAAGGTCTCTTCTCTGCAAAAAAAGTTCTCTCTCTGGCCAGACAGACCCAAGGCAGTGGAATTAGGTGAGGCTGTCTAGGGGTGTTTATTCTGGCATGTCATATTCCATTTATCCTACCCACTAATTTTTAAGGCAACACTCTGCCTTTACCTTGCTTCTGGCATCCAACCTGTGCTTTGACTGGAATCCTGGCCAGTAACTTTCTCTTCCTAATTTCTTTGTCATACTTTTCCTTTTCTTTTCCCTTCTCCTCCTCCAATATCACCATCATAGTCTTCTGCAAACATTCACAGAGCACCTAGTATGTGTCAGCACTGAAATTTATGTACATCATCTCATTTATTTTTCAAAACACTGTATATTTTTATCTTTATTTTATAGACAAAGATGTTAAAGTTCACAGAGGATACTGTTAATTATCAGTGGCCATGGTGGATTGATTGTATTCATTATTCATATCCTATCTATTGCCCAAAAGCATTTACAGGCACTAATGCGTAACAATGTGTTAAGTAGGTACCCAAATCCAGTTGATTCCCTACGTAGCCAATTCTACATCCATCTCAACTCAAATACCATTTTGGGAATAACGCTTACTGTTGGGATGTTCAGGTTCCATGAAAGACCAAGGAATGGGGAAACCTTCCAATTCCTGAAATCATAGAACTGTACTATAGCATTTTGTAGCCCTTTCAAAGCACTTCAATGTATGTTCTTTCATGTGGTGAATGCTCAGAACATCTCTGTATTCAAGTGCCAATGATAAAAGTGATGATCAAGGAGGTCAAAGGATTTGTCCAAAGGAACCTGGGCTGGACCCCAGGTCTCCTGATTCCTACTGCAAACAATCCTCCACACACCACACAAAGGTCTTTGGGTCCATGGAGGCACCTGTGGGAGGGGAACCTCCTTTATGTTTTCTCTAAGACTGTCTTCTAGAATCTAACCTTGGAGCTGAATGGTTAGACTACTAGTAGTTGCCAAATCCGATTGATCTCCTGTGGCTAGGGAGCTTGTAACAAAATGAGCCAGTAGTTAATTGATTTACAGAAATGTAAGGATAATGTATGACTCCTTTTGGGCCTGTAGAAAGTGAGAGAAAAGTGATTGTGGTAAATCTGCTCTTCCTGCATTCATCAAATTTAAGATCCACCCATTTTAAGGCACAGTTTTGTTTCAGAAAGGGAATAGAAGTTTAAAGGAAAACTGCATCTAGAATTGATAAACTATGCTAAAATATAGTTTTTTAAAAAATAATTTGCTAACTTATTACCATATTTCAAACACTGGGTTAGGCACTGTAAAGTTGTTATAGTATTCCTGCAATAAACCTATGAAATAGATAGTATCCCCATTTTATAGAGAGGAAATTGAGGCTGAGAGACGTAAAGTTACTTGCTGGCACTCAAACGAAGCATGGCTGACTCCAAAACTGTTGCTTTTTAACTGCTATGCTAATCTTCCTCACGCATGGCTCAGGGCTTCCTTTAAGAAAGAATTTATGACAGTTCTCTCTCCAAGTGAAGATTTTAGAAATCAGACAATTTTATGATGTCAGTTCTGTTTCCAGTTTATAAAAACTGGTTATTGGCTGCACACAGTCAATTGCATCCAGGAACTGTCCTCAGGTCTCATAGTCTTAACTACTCTCTATTTTAGCTGCCCTGCAAATTTATATTCCAACTACGACCTGTCTCCTGACTCCATTACAATGCAGCCACCTCTCAATGCCTCCCCTGGGATGTCTAGTGTGCATCTCAAATGAAAAGTGCCCCAAAGAGTCCTTCCTGTGCTATCCATGGCAATGGCACTGACAAGTTCACAGATACTTGGACCAAAATCCGAGGTTTCCTCCCTGAATTCTGAATTATCTCACAGTCTAAATCCAGAATCTAGCCAGTTTTGTGTACTCATTCTCCAAAATATATCCCAGATCTCACCCTTTCTTATCTTGTCCACCACCGACCCCCTCATCCAACTACCACCCTCTCTTGTCCAGATCTAGACAACTGTAGAAGCCTTCTAACTGGTGTCCTCTTTCAAACCTCACCTGCTATAGTGCATTCTTCACCAAACAGCAAAGGAATGTTTTAAAAACCATAAATGTAATCAAAACTCTTTCCTCCCTTCTATTAGAAGAAAATTCAAATTCTTCACCACAGAGGATTCTGTACTTCCTCTGTACAGCTCTCCAACTGTATTGCTTTCAGTTCTCCTGTCTTTTTTACCCTTGCTGGCTGCATGGGCTTACTTTCTGCCCCTCAAACATATCACACTTGTTTTCACTTTGGGAACTTTGCACTCGATGTGCTTTCCTTTCCTGAAATAACCTTCCCAAGATCCGATTGTCATGACTGATTCTTTTCATTCAAGCCTCAGATTAAGTTTCACTCTCCCAGGGAGTATTTTCTTAAATAACCCAAATTAGAGTAGCCACCTCCTCACACAACTTTATACCATCCCTTGTTTGATTTTTCATACTATTTTTAGTAATCTTAGATATTTTCTCTGTGATTAGGAAATTATACCTTGATATATTCCCAATATTTTGAACAATATCTATTATATATTTATGAAATAGGTAAATTATTGTTTTGTTTCTTTGAACACTCGTAGAACTTAGATATTAAGTAAATATTTAGTCATATTTATTTTTACAAAATGCATTCTAACCTATTTTATTTCTGGCTTGGCTTCTTTTTTGGCATATACCATATTAGATAAACTTGACAGAAAAACAGATATAGGTGCATTGTCTGTTTCACTTTTAATCTAGAAGAGGTAAACCTTACCTAATTTCATAATTATTAAGTTGCTTGATTGCATTCTTGGCTTCCAGTTTATTTGAAAATGTTACAAATGCATATCCTCTATTGTTTCCATTAAAATCCATCATCATTCTCATTTCATAAATTTTACCAATCTGTAAGTAACAGAAATAGAAAATTTATATTTATACGTTTGTACTTCTGAATGTGTGTATGTGCTGATGCAGACACACACACACACACACGCACACACACAGTGTTTTCTGAAGCATGCCTCCTGCTGGTACTAATTGGCATTTGCAATGTGGAATGGTTTGCATATTTTCATGTGGGTTCAGATCAGTTATCTGATTCATGAGAGAAGTCAAGTTAAATAAAATGTTCACAAGTAACATTTCAGCCTGAGTTAATAGAATGTGTTTTTGTTAGAGCAAATGAACTTTCACCACATAATTATCTGAAACATCTCAGAGACATGAAAACACATTTTATCATAAGTACAATTTCTTACATCTGTAATTCCAGCATTTTGGGAGGCCAAGGCAGGTGGATTACTTGACCCTGGGAGTTTGAAACCAGTTTGGGCAAGATGGTGACACCCTGTGTCTACAAAAAATACAAAAATTAGCTAGCGTGGTGGTCCGTGCTTGTGTCCCAGCCACTTGGGAGGCTGAGGTGGGAGAATTGCTTAAGCCCAGGCACTTGAGGCTGCAGGGATCCATAATTGTGCCACTGCAATCTAGCCTGGAAAACAGAGCAAGACACTGTCTCTAAAAAAAAAGTATAATTTCTCGATATGTATGTCCATGTCCTGTAAATTGTCCTCTGAAATCTCCATAGTTTAATGTCCAGTTGGTCCTATTCTATCATTGATGTTTAAAACAAAAAGCAAGAATGCTCATTTGCCAAACTAACTTCTTAACTGTCTTTTTCTCAGCCATGACATCAAAATGGACACAGATCTGTTTCAGGGGATGATCTGGGAGCCTTGTCACTTTCTCCCTCTGCTGGCTGAATGTAAATGCTAGCCTAAATACTATTAACTCAGGGCCAGGGCCTCCAGAGCACGAGAGTACTCTATTCCCCTGGCTATCGTGACTCTACTTGCCCATATGACACTCCCTTCTGCCCCATGACTGTCCTGCAGCAATCTAGACTGAGCAATTTACTATTGCTGGCTGCTGTAAGAAGGGTTGCCCAAATAAATATGATGGGGCATGTCTCAGAGAAGTGCCGTTAAGCACATGCCATTACCTTTGTGGTTGATCACTTCTCAGCTCAGCCTTACACTACCCCACCCCCAGTTCTTCAGTAATGAACATTTTTTTTCTGGGCTCAATAGGAAAGATTTGAGCATGTTTCATCTCTGTTTCAGGTTTTCTTGATGCTCATTTTCAGATTCAGTAGATACGATTCTTACAGAATTAAGTCTTCATTATTTGTCCTCATGCCAAGAGGGATTGCACGTGTAAAATTAGGTACAGTTCTGAATCTGAGCCTATCATACATACACACAGACAAAATTGATTTTGACATTTAGGCAGAGAGCTAAATTCTCATATTTACTAAAATTTTCAGGAATATACTTGTTGCTAAAAACTACTTGGTAAATTGTTAAAAATAAAATTTAAATTTGTGCTCTTCCTTTAATTGAAAAGCCATGTTCTTAATCTTCTGGATGCATTTAAATAGATAAGAAATTTAAACTTGGAGAAGAAGATTTCATTCTGGATTAACGTGTACAGATACATGTTGAGTCATGACAAACATATACATTCTTTTAAAATGAAAATATTGTACTTTATAAAGCCATATTAAAATTTCAAGTTGGAAGAATATCTAATTTTAGACAGGGTGTTGTAGTGTTATTATAGATGGATAGACACATTGAGTTTGTAGTAGATGGCAAAGATTGGGGAACAAGATACAGATTTGAAAGTCATTAGAAATTGTAGCAATTCAAGCTGTCAGTAACAGGACAAGAGCTAGGTCAAAGCACTGATTATAAAGAGACAATCACTAAAAACTTTGTCCATAATTGAAGAATGGTAATTGGAATGAAAACAATCATTGATCAAGAAGGATGAGAATGAAGTGAAGAGAATAGGATTTTTCCCTTGACAGATAATAAAAATTAAATGTTAAATTTGGACTCACTTTTTCACATAATGGTATAAGCTCATCCTCAAAAAGGTCTCGAGGAAGTTTTCCAATAAAAATTTCACAGCCCCTTTCAGGGGGTGCAGCATCCCAGCCAGGTGGAGGGCCACCATATTTTCTTTGTCCATTCTCCTGCAAATTCAGGACAGGCGTGAAGGAGAGGAGAAAACGATAAAGTCTTTAATTCAGTTTCCTTGAATATTTTTCAAAATCACTTCACAATAAGGAATGTATTTATCATGACAAATAATAATAGTTGACTGGTTAAAGGAGAAAAAGTAAACCTTTTATATGGATTATAATACTACACTCTGCTTCAGCAGCTTGCTTGAGATAAACATTGTAAAAACTTGTGCTAGGCAAGTATAAGGTTTTTCTTTTTTAATTTCATTGAGGTAAGAACACTTAAGAGATCTATTTTCTTAGCAAACTAAACAGTGAACAGATCAGGGTAATTAGCATATCCATCATCTCAAACATTTATCATTTCTTTGTGTTGGCAATACAAGGAATAGCCTTCATCTAGCTATTTAAAACTACATATTAATAATATATTATTGTTAATTGTAGTCATCCTGCAGTGGTGTAGAACACTACAACTTACTCTGGCTGAGGCAGAAGGATCCCTTGAGCCCAGGAGTTCATTATAACTTCTACAACTAATATTTTAAGAAGTTTTATGCTATAAAATCATACATGTGGAAAAAAACATAGTGATATATAAGGTAAAAGAAAAATTCTCCAATGTAACACTCTACCCATCCTTAGATGTAGTTACTGTTAAAAATTTCAGTCTGCCCTTTCAAGTATTTTTCTATGCATATTTTTAAAAGACATGTTAATTGTTTAAAGACACAGTTTTGTATGATAGTTGTTTTTTAAAATTGAAGTAAAGCAGCTTGTGGTGTGCTTGTTAAATCTTCATATACATCAACTTGAGTTTTTCTCAATTATTTTCTAAGTATTAGCACAAAGCCTCATTGGATCACAGTATTTAATTGATGTCTGTGGTGTCTATGGTCCTGATCACTTTTTTATTTCTAATAACTCATACCAAGTTTTTAAAAATAATAATTTTAAAAGATGTCATATGAGTCTTCTACTTTGCCTGGATTCTTTTTTTTGTTTCAGACAACTGAAGTTTTAAAAATCAAACTGAATATTTAAATTTTTGACTAGAGAGTTCTTGTATATTTTTCTTACTCTAACATTCTTGTCTAGTAGCAAAACTTTGATATCACTGAGAAGTCTGAGAAATTGAATTCTTTATGATTATAGAAAAAACCCAAAACTTGGTAACTTGGTGGTCTATATCTCAACTAAGAATTACCTTAAAAATGTGCAATTGACATTTTCAGAGACATTAATGGCTTTTATTCATTTACTTATTTTCAAACAAATAGCTATATAGTACTTACTATATGCCAGATACTGCTCTGTTATTACTTAATGTCATGGGTTAAGTAAGGACTGTTACTATTCCATTTACATAAGGTGCCAAAGCCCAGATAAATTAAGTAATTTGCCAAGATCACATGGTTGGGAAGTGGAGAAGCCAGAATTTGAACCCAGGCAGTCAGGCATCAAAGTTCATCAGCTTAATTTCTAAATTTTGCTCCTTTGATATATGAAAGCCATTTAGAACAGATGCATACATTAAAATATTCCTTATTCGCCCGGCATGGTGACTCATGCTTGTAATCCCAGCACTTTGGGAGGCTGAGGTGGGTAGATAGCTTGAGTCTAGGAGTTTGAGACCAGCCTGGCCAACATGGTGAAACCCCATCTTTGCTAAAAATATAAAAATTAGCCAGACATGGTGGCACATGCCTGTAATCCCAGTTAGCTGGGAGGCTGAGGCATGAGAAACACTTGAACCCAGGTGAGATTATGTCACTGTACTCCAGCCTGGGTGACAGAGCAAGACTCTGTCTCAAGAAAAAAAAATTACTCCTTATTTATGAAAAAATTTATCATGCCATTAAATAGCAAATTCCCTACTGCAATTTAAAATCATTTCAATTTCTAATCATTTTATTACATAAAATATTTGGAAGAATATATCTCATATTTCTAACCACAAAATTCAAAGTTCAAAACTTTTCAGTGCCAGTATGAGGCACTGAAATTTCCACAAGTGACACCTGATCTCATATGATGGGTACCCAAAATTATTAAAAGCATTGTATAAAATTACCTTCAGGCTATGTGTATAAAGTATATATGAAATGTAAATGAGTTTCATGTTTATATTTTGGGTCCTATCCCCAAGATATCTTTACTATGTATATGTGAAAATTCTAAAATTAAAAAAAAAAATCTGAAATCCAAAATACTTCTGGTCCTAAGCAATTTGCATACCAGATACTCAACCTGAATTGCCAAATTACCGTCTTTCTCCCTGGGCAAACTCTCCATCTGAGTGACAGTGATTCTTCTGAGCCCATTTTTGCATATCTTTGATGTCTATAACATTCAACAGATTATTAGAATAAATTTACTATACATTTGGTGGCATTTTTACCCTTGCGGTTGAGGACACTGAACTTTCATCCCATAATAGTAAAGTGGTAATTCCAGAAATTCTACTTTGAAAAGCTTTGATAGTTTGAAATTAAATAGGCAACCAGCAGATTGACTTTTTAAAATTTATCTTCAACTTTCTTGTTTGCTATAATTGCTAAAAATGTCATCCAACTATTTTATGCATATCATGTGTATAGGAGGATTTATCTGCTTATGATCTGAAATAATTGACCAGGAAAGCATATTAATTATCTTTATGTGTTTTCTATAAACGCTTGAAAAAATTCCAAAGAATATTTTTTGAGACAGTAAAGAGATGCTCTGAAGCTCTCTCAGTGGGGGAGATTTGCTCTGTGAGCCACCCACCGGTCTTGGAATGCACCAGTAATGGAAGTCCAGACCAATTTAAGGCAGGCACTGGGCATTAGTCATGAGGTTAGAATAGCTGTCCATTACTCAGAAAGGACAGTTGGGCTCTGGGTTGCTAGTATGTCAGGCACTATTTTCATAGTTGAGGAGTTTAAAATAGATAAAGCCCAGTTATAACTGCTCTTTTCCCTCCTAGCTGATATCTTACTCAAGGGAAGCATTCTCTCCAGCAGCACAAATGTATTAATAGTTCAGACTAAAAGAATATAGATTTTTGTTTTTCGTAAGACAGTGTTCATTAAGCTCTGGAAACGTTTATTTTTCTAATCAAAGACTTAGAAACTGTTGTCTCTCTAGAGTCATATGCAAATAGGTGGAAAATCTTCAGCTATGTAAATGAACAGTTGAGGACACAATTCTAACTATAAATCCAGTGGCTTTAATTTAAATATTGGATGTTGAGTCTACTCAGTAACTCAGTTAATATGTCAAGAGTACTTGGAAATTTCCTCCTATCACAGATATTTCAAGTCCTTCATGATGGAGCCATAGAGTCTTCAAGAGATTATGTCTACCATCATCTTGACCTTGGATGAAAACCATACAACCTTCTTCAATAAATGATTCTAAGCAATAAGTCTTAGCATGGAGGTTGAATGAACTGAGTTAATGTTGGCCATTGAGCATTTGATCTTATTATACAGTTGGGGAATCTGGGAAAAAATTGCCTTCTCTTCTAGAACTTAAAAATGGCAGATACTTGATTTTTCCAGCTTTCCTTGCAGCTGGGGCCATCATGGTTATTGGACAAGCATGGTTTCCTTTACTAAACCATGGATAATCATGGTTTCCTTTACTAAAATTTAGTTCTGATGAAACAATCACAAATGGTGCAAACTTTAATGCTGAGTGTTCTGTGATGTTAGATAACATTTTCTTACCATGACAAATATGTGATGTGGTTTTGGGTATTGTTCTTAAAAGCTTACCCTTGAATTGTATTCTTCACATCTAAAGTTTCTGTGAACCAATTCCCTTTTAATAAACTCTTTTCTATTTAGCCAGTCAGAGTTAGCTTCCGTTACTTGCACATGATAGTAATGGCAGCAGAAACAACAACTATCTTCAACTGAATCAGGTATTTTGCCGAGTGTTTTACATTCATTTATTCTTCTCAATAAATCTATGAGGATGCTACTACTATTGCTTTCATTTTATAGTTGAGGAATCCAAAGCTTAGAATATGTCCAAATTTATATAAGCAATAAACAGCAGAGACTAAATATGAAGATGCTTGTAGTCACATTATCTTTCTTTCATTTTTACATTAACACAATACACTAATTTTATAGATGAGGAAACTGTATCCAGAGATATATAACTTGTCTAATATCACAATGGTTTAGTTTGTTGTAGAAAACACTAGAATAAAGATCCTATCATTCTGGATTTGGTGAACTTTATGGCATATATAGTATTCAAAAATTCTGATGATTTTTCTTCTCAGGCTTACCAGCCTTATAAAACCTCATGTTATGTGTTACATTTACTTTCCTGTTCAACTTCACCAGTCATGGACACTGGATGATTATTGTTTCCCATAAACAAGCCCATTCATAACTGGAAGGACATTAATTAAGGAACCCTCATTCAGCCTGTTTTTTCCTGAGTACTAATTTCAATTTCTTTAATGGCTCTTTGGAAAGTTCATATTTTAAATTTGTAATCGTCTTTGTGGTTCTCTTTGGTTCTTTTTTTTCTCTCTCTCTCCAAGAGGGAAGAAATTGTGTGCTTTTCATAACTAAACTTGTTTCAGATCTTTTCCTATCCATTTTCTAATTGATCAGGTTTGTTTTTATTCCTGCTCCTGTTCCCTTAGGTCCTGGTTAATCTACCCATGCTTAGTAGCATTTCAAGCCTTTATCAGCTTGCCAGTCACCAGAACCATGCCTAGAACAGTGGTTCTGTGCCCAAACTCCTGTGCATGGTTCTTAAAGTTGACAACAAGGCATTGAGGACATCTCTCTTGACTGTGTCACTTGTGTTTCATGAGTGTATACTGTATTTTTCTAGTTATTGATTTATAAAATTAAAGTATTTACTATACATTATTTCTACTATATTCCACCTATATACTAGATCATTATGTGTTAGATAGTTTAATGAAAGTCTATAGGGCCATAAAATGTACCAACAGGACTCTCTTCGATGTGATTTTACCTTTGTCTCCTTCCACA